GGCTGCAGCCGTGGGGATACCATGCGTGAGGTCGCAAAGTGATATGATGTGTTACCTGCTAAGATATGTGTGGCTTAGGATTGGGGTCTTGATAGATCATGTTGTGCATGATCCACGTTGCCCATGGTACCTTGTGGGCAATCAGCCAAACACCTTGTAGGCATTGAAGCTTACAGGTATGGTGGAGTAGTAGCCAGAGAAGGGAATCATCCTCTCCTTGTGCCGGCAACATGCCTGTCTAAGTCCACATCACCGACGGTGACCGTGGAGGCGAGGGAGGTACTGGTGGCGGTAAAGGACTATGCCGGCTCATGCTTCGACGACAGCAAGGCGGTGGGCCTCCATGGATGCGGAGTGGCGGTGGGGAAGTGAGAGGGCGGCCTGAGTGGTGTCCAAGCTGTCGAAACTGGGTAGCGACGGCGAGGGCGGCGAGACCGGGGAGTCAAGAGTGGAGAGCAAAAAATGGCCGATGTGCCGCCGATGGGTTGGCCAGGGGAGGACAAGGGAGGCAGCGAACCCTATTTAGCACCTTATGTGTCGGTTAAAGGCATTTTTGCCAACCGACGCACACCCCCTGTCCGAGCTAGGCCGACCCATTTACCTTTTTTCGTTTAAAAACCAAAAAATGTGCATGCGTCAGGTTTGCACTCATGATCTCTACGTCCAGAGAGAAGTCGCAAGACTTGTGCGTAGAAACTTCTTCTTCTGTATTTATTCTTTTCCCAGTTCGCGAAAGCCCCCGGTTTAGGGAAGCTTCTAGAACCTTCTAGCCTTGTTTTTATTTTCATTGTGGTTTTTTCTTCGATAGGTTTTTGTTTGGTTTTTTCTTTCTTTCTTTTATTTAATATTTATTCCTTTTTATTTTCTTTATTTTTATTTTTCCTTTTTTAAAATGCACTAACTTTCTCAAATTCGATGAACTTTTTTTTCCAAATCGGTGATTTCTTTTCAAAATCAATAAAACTTTCAAATTCAATGAGAATTTTCCAAATTTGATGTTTTTTCAAAATCAATGACTTCTTCCAAATTTGTTGAACTTTTTTTTTAAATCGATGAACTTTTGAAATTCAATGAACTTTTTTCAATTTTTCAGAGTTTTTCAGATTTGATGAACTTTTTTTCAAATTCGATGATTTTTCTCAATTTTTGTAAAGTTTTTCAAAATTGATGAACTTTTTAAAATCCTTGATTTTTTTTCTCAAATTCATGAACTTTTTTTAGGTTTGTGAACTTTATGTTAATCCATGAAGATTTTTGAATTCACAAACTTTTCGATTTTTTGCAAATATATTTTTGTTTCTTTTTCAAACGTCAATGATTGACCTGTCAATTGGTCAACCGCGATTAGTCCATTGCGATCGAGCGACCCAGCGGAAACCAATGAAAACTAGTGCGGTGCGATCAAGCAATCTTCTACATGGGCCAACCCACAATCGTGCGCGTGTGAACGCCAGTATCGACAACCAGCGTCTAGAGTGTCGATTAGGAGCTCAACCCTTAAGGGGATTTTCGTAAAGGCTACAGTCGCCATCGTCGCAAGAGAATTTTTGATCCCCTTGTCTTTGGCTGCCATCTTGGTGCTGAGAGGTGGGAGGACCTCGCGTCTTTAAGAGTTCTATATTATTCATCATCATCTAGTGATCATCGTATTCTTATTCTTTTGGCGGTGTCATGAGTTTAAAGAGTTTTCTGTTCACGCAATTACGATTATTTGGATCTGGTGAGTTTATGATAGTGTGTCGAACTCTTTTAGTTGATTTGTTTCTTTGTGAAATTGAAATATTTCATCGACATTCTGATGAAGATATTGTGGTCCGACATCATGCACTTATAGAGGATTATTTCCGGCCCAAGTACATTCATTGATCAAGACTTTTCATCTATCTTTTTATGTGAGGGACTCAAGACGTTTTCAAAATCATTATTGATAATGTTCACGCGGATGAAATAGTGACAATATCGTTGCTCCACTCTAATTGCAGTCTATTTACCGAAGTCTTTGGAGTATTTCTTTTAGAAGAGATCGATACAATGAAGAAGTTGTTTTCAAGAGATTACATTACAATAATTATTGGGTCCTAATAATGCCCACATATGTGGACGTTAAGGGGTCTCGCCACACGTTTTGTGTGGTATCTAAGAGAACCAGTTTACATGTCTACATGTGCGCAAAACAAGTAATGCCCACACGCTCGGTCTTTTGCCTCGTGGTCCCTCCCATACGCCTACTTGTGGGCAAAATAGATAACGCCCACACGCCCGTACCTCACAGTCCCACAGGCCACGGGTGACAGTCACCACGCATTCACGCAGTTACCATGGTCTGGACCCTCTTTCATGTTCGTTTAACTGCACTTGTCATGTTGCTGAACTACAGTTGTCATGTGTGACAAATACAGTTGCCATGGTTGCTCAACTGTAGTTGCCATCTCAGGTCAAGTGCCAGATGTTATTTTTGGACAATTGCAGCTGTTGCCATATATGGTCTGGTCTACTACAGTTGCCATGACTTAAAAAATTTAGGAGTTGTCACCTACTAATACTAGGCAGTTGCCATGTAGCATTATAAAAAGATATGAAAAAATAACATGTTAGAGTAAAGAGAGAGTTCTTATCTACTTACTAGGACAGTTGTCATGTACCCTAGAGTAAAGCACACTAGGACAGTTGTCATGTACCCTGCAAAACACATGGCAACTGACAGGTTTGGTGTGGGAGAGGAGACGGCGTGTGGGCGAACTGCTAAACATCCACACACCAGCCCCTCTGCGTGCGTGAAAATTGGCGTATGGGCGAACTGCTAAACGCTCACACACCAGCCCCTCCGCGTGGTCAAAAAGATGTGTGGGCGACCAGATGAATGTCCACACACCAGTCCAATCCAACACGACAATAAAAATCTGGCAAAATATGTCAAGATTCGTGCAAACACAAACATACGTTGATCCATGAGTGTGGGCGAGATGCAAACGCCTACACGTGTGGACATTAGTATTTTTGTAATTATTAGACATGGAAATTACTTTATATTTATTTTTTAATTTTAGATCCAAATCAATGTACCTGTGATTGTTATCTGTATGAATAAAATTGCATATGTTTCTTAGAAAGAGCTTCTAAGAGCAACTCCAAACGGGCGACCCATTTCGTTCGCCCGCGTCCATTTAGGTCGGTGTGGATAAAAGTGGCGACCCAACGCGCCGACCCAAATTCAAATCGTATCCGTCTGGCGTCCGCGTCGACTCATTTTCGGCCCAAAATTGCGCCTGGAATGCGTCGGCGCGGACGCGAAGCGGACGCGCCACGCGTCTCCTCGCCGTCCGCCGCGTCCCCACCTGGTGGCCACCCAACCGCCACGGTCAACATAATTTATGACGACCGCCCACCTTGGGCCCACGCGTCAGCGACGGCAGTCGTTTTTTTAAACCGGGCGTGCGGCGGGGCCGTCCTCATCCACTTACCACTCGCCCCCGTCCTCATCTGGCCACCCCTGCCCGCACGCCGACGACAACCCTAGCCACCGCCAGTATAGATTCTTCTCCGGCATCGGCAGGAACCGCAAGGGCAAAGCCCCCGCCCGCCATTCCCCCTCCCTCCTCGCCCTCCCAGCGCCGGCGCGCGCTCCCCGGCAGAGGTAGCGCATCAACGTGTCGTTGCACCAGGCCGAGTGGCACTGGCACCACCGCGTGCCTCTGCCGTACCCGGACATGACGCTGCCGCATGACTGGCATTTGGATCCGGAGAGGATCCCAGTGCCGGCGCCGCCGCCGGCGGCGAGGGCCCATGCGGAGGAGGTGCGGCGCTGACTCGCCCAACTGGGCTCGATGGTTCGCCTTCGAGCACGAGGAGGCGAGGCGACGCGGCATCCGCAACATCGACCACAGCCTGCCGCCGCCCGCGCTCGTCGTCCACGACGAGGACCAGGAGGCCGAGGCCGCCTACCAGGCGGCCATCAAGGAGAGCGAGGAGGAGGAGCGATGGAGGGAGGCGGACGAGGCGGCTTTCGAGGCTGCCATGGCGGAGGCCATGGCCCTCTCCACGGCGGGCGACTGCATCGTGCCACCGGTGGCCCCGCTGTCTCCGCCCAAAGCCGAGCTGGAGAAGCCGGCCTACCGCGAGCGCTACTCCTGGACCGGGGTAGTGCGCGAGTGGGTCAGCGCTCCGCCAATCTGGCTCGGGGCGACGGAGAAGCAGGAGGCGGCCTACCTCGACCACTGGCGCCGGGAGGGCGAGCGTCTGCAGATGCTCGAGCGCGAGGCCGACGAGGAGGCGCGCCAGGCCCAGGCAGCGGCGACAAAGCCCGGCATCGCCGCCGTCTGGAACACGGCGTTCCCCTGGGCCGGCCCTGGGCCTAGGGCAGCACGTCGTCTAGTTTTTAGTGTTTTTATTAATGTAACGTGGACTTTCGCCAGCCTTCGTGGTCGACTTTTATGTTTAATTAAATGCATATATTTATTTTCAAACCGCTTGCAATACTTTTATTTGGCGCGACGACGAAATGGATCGGGCCAGCGTTGGGCGCTCGCGTCGATTCAAACACAGCGCCGGACATTTGTATCCGCCGGACCGACTTAAACGAATAAAAAACGGACAAAAACACCGTCCGTTCGGGTCTCCTGTTGGAGTTCCTCTAAGGGAGGGCATCGCACGCTCTTGCCGAAGATAGTCAAGGCGGACAGAAAAATCGGCGCAGGTCCGTTTGTGGAGAA